CAAACTAGCTATCTTTAAGAGTCCTACCTAACTGAGCTGTTGTGAGTTCTAAGGAATCACAAAGTCCATGTGTCTATATTTGCAAAGTACTGGGTAAAAGTAAAGTGTTCAGTCTTGTTCAAGGGGCTTATGCTACACCCTGTTGAGGTCTTAGGACTTGCCTCAGTGCAAAGGTGGTAGGTAAGTGTCCTGTGGAACTCTCTGACCAAGTGCTAAGTGCTTCTTAGGGAGGCTTGGGCACCACAACTAGTACACAGATGAATTGATTCAAATGGGTCTAAGCCAGGTGTGAATTATTAAATGGCCACTGATTCAATGGGCCTATTCTAGTGCAATGTACTATGCTAAGCAACAGGATTTCAACTATTCCGAGAGCCATTGTAGGGTAGTGGATCAAATGTCATAGTAAGACTCAGGAAAGCTGGGTTCAAATCCCTGCTCAGCTATTAAAACTCACTAGGTGTGTGTGAGATTGGTAAAATCACTCTTAAATATTGCATATGTGTAAACTGGCAAAAATCTGAAATAATGTTGTTTAATCATAATAAACTAGAACAAGAAAGGTTTGCTGATAAATATTTTTAGGATATGTAAATCTGTTAAATATTTAGGTATAGATTTAGTAAAAGATACTCATAAAATAAAGGAGAATAAGTTAAAAAAGAGATACTTTGGTCATCTCATGAGAAGAGAAGACTCCCTGGAGAAGACCCTGATGTTGGGAAAGTGTAAAGGGAAGAGGAGAAGGGGACGACAGAGGACGAGATAGTTGGACATAAATTTTGACCCAACTGCGGGGGGCAGTGGAAGACAGGAGGGCCTGGCGTGCTCTGGTCCATGGGGTCATGAAGAGTCAGACATGACTTAACGACTAAACAACGACAACTAGGGTTTCTTTTTTTTTTTTTTTTAAAGCAGGCACATTACATGGCACAATGCATTTATTGCACCCGAAAACATCATAATAATTAAGAACAAAATTCAATGAACATGATAATACTGTAGTGGCAATCTCAGGGAGAAAGTATCATAGAAAGAGGGAAAATCAGGAGTCATCAAATAGTGACTATCAGATTACATAATCTTAATTTATAGCAAGATTGTTTGGGTGAGCTAACTGAAACTTTTAGAAAGGGACTGTGAGAAAGATTGGGGTGGGTTAGCTGTAACAAAAAGCAGTTGCCTGCCATTACTGCATCACTATAAATATATTTGAAATAACATGGAAAGGAGAGTGAGAGTGAAGCTATTCAGAGAAGAAGAAAAGTAGAAACTACCGTACAGTAGATGATTCAGAGAAGAAGAAAAGTAGAAACTACCATACAGTAGATGAAGAGGATGTACGTACGTACGTACGTACGTACGTACGTACGTACGTACGTACGTACGTACCTGTGCACGCATCCCTCCCTCCCACCTATCTAATGGCCAGGCCACTACTCAAGGTCACAGTGTCATAACAGAAACATGTAATAACATCACAATGATAATCTAATAAAACATCACACAAAGTTAAATGTCTGAGTATAAAATAACTAATGCTTTAAAAATAGAGATAGATGGGGTCAAAACAGAGACAATTACCCCACAATTAATGGAATACAGTGATCTTAAGCAAAATTAGTCTGGGGTAAGCCTGTGTATGGACTGTGTAAACAGCCGTGTTTTTAGTTGTTTTCTAAAGCCAAGGAGAGAAAGGACTGGCCACTAGATCGGTGGTATAAAATTTTAAATAAATAAATTGAGAGAGAGAGAGTTCCATAACATTGTGGCCACGACAGAGAAGGCCCAGTTTTAAATGTTGATTTCCAGGCCTTTCTTGGAGTGGCCACCTGTAACATCCCAGAATATGAGGTGTGGGTGAGGCAGGTGGTCATTCTGAGGGAGAGGCACTCAAGCAAGTAGCAAGATCACATACTTTCTTACTAACCCTTGCAACAGCAGTACAACGTAGTTCAATGTCATTATTCTCACATGACATTTGTGATGGCTAAGGCTGAAAGATTGAACAGATGTGCATTCATAACAGCTGGCGTTATGGGATTTACACCAAATCATGAGTTGTTTGCACCAGATCCAAAGTAAAGTAGCAATTTAAGGTTTCACTTTCAGAATGATTTCTGGAAATACATACATGTTTCTCTTTTAAATGTAACACACTTTTCGTGCAATATTCTGAATACCCTTTGTCATACTCCTGATTAATTTGGCTGCAGTCTATGAACTGTTAAAACAAATAAGACTTGCTACTGTTTTAAATGTCACAAAGCCATCCTTCATTTAAACAACCTTATCTGCTGGCTTGGAGGACTCTAAACCTCTTGGTTTAACTTGGGGTTTTTCCAGATGGAGCATTAGTTATCCATACTGTAAGTAGCTGAAAACTGATCATTTCAATATTTTCCCCAACATCCAGAAGACCTGTCTGGTACCAATAATGTCTAAATCCATAGCTCATTGTGTCTTTTCATTCCCTCCAGGAGAATTGTTTTTTTCTAAAACTGTCACCTGCTTTGAGACTCTGTGATATGGAGGAAGCAAGAAATGCGTTGAATGAAGCGATGGATCAATAAAAATCTTGTTGTCGGGTTGGGCAGGGTTTAGTGTAAAGTGCTTCCCAGATTGAATTCACTTCTGCACTATAACCTCCCATTGGGAAACTTTTAATTAAGCTTCAAATTAACTAAAGAAAACAGAACAGCTCCAGAAGTGACACTCTTGCAGCAAAGTTGGATTTCTATGCTTGGTAAATGAAAATTTCAAAAATGTTGTGTCTTAAGATAAGTGGCTTTTTAAACAATTTTATAAACAAGTCATCCTTCATTACCAAGTGGGAGAAAGTGGGTGGCATTTCCCCCTAGTTGGGAGAGCCTTGGTTCAACATTTTGAGATCTACTGGAATCCTTGGAAATCCGGCAGAGTATTTTCATAGGCCAGAGGGAAAACCACTTGAAATGTGTTTTTCTTCTCTTTGCGGACCAGATTCGTAAAATACTGAAGCTACATTTTAGGGGAGGCACTGAAGTCTTGACCTCCTTATGTAGCTTTATGTCCATTCAGTTGCTGTCTGCCCACATCCACAAAGAGCAGAAAGTGAGGCCATGTTCCACAGTAGCCAGTTCTCTCTTTTTATGGTCTCTCTGATATTAGTCTTATCAAACTGTTGTTCCTCCCTCCCATTCTTTCTTTCCTTTTATGAGCTCGTTTTTGTCTGAAATGATTTACATTTTGTTTTGTTCTTGTTCTTTCTTAAAAACTAGAACCGTGGATCAGAGAGGCAAAGATCTTTGTGATACAGTCCTTCCTTAACAACTGTTCTCCGCCACATTCCCTTCTGACAGTGAAAGTCAGGAAATGATGATCTTTCATTCTTTTTGCTATACTCCTTAAACTGATGTGTATATGCACACTGACTTTTAAAAAAATGTCATGCTGTGTGTGTGGTTTTTTTCTTTTCCTAAAGCTCTGGAAGACTCACTGCTGTGAAGTGAATTCCCCTCTCCCTCCCAACCCTTTCCAAATCTGCTCTGATGTGGGTCGAGTTGCAGCTTTGAAGACAGGGGTTGTGACTTTCTGAATCAGAGAAGGTTTAGGAGAAGGGAGGGAGGAATCCTCCTGACTTGGGATGAATCTCTTGGAATTGAGCAAAACATAGTGAAGCATTTTGCAGACCTCTATAACAGGAATACAAATGAGTATAACAAAGAAACTAAAAAACACTCTTTGATTGCAGCACTTGCATGTCAGCAGATCAAGGTTGTTGAAGGAAGGGGGAGAAATATTTACCAGTCTTTCTGATATGAATATTTCATATTTACTGGCAGAATGAAGTGACATAATGCTGGGCTTGGGACTACTGGCTGGCCTAAGTAATTACTCTGGACTTGCTATTTCTTATTGAAAAGAAATTCATTGAAAGACAGGGCTGGAGAGAAAGCACACTAAATATATTTACTGAAGCCACAATGCTGACTTTCACTACGGAACCTGGCTTTCTTTATTCGGAAGAAGAAGAAGCAAATGACAGAGAGGGAAGGAGGACATAAGTACCTCTAAGAGTAGCAATCTGAACACATATCAGAAAAAAAAAGACAAGAGGGGATAAATCTCAGGCCTATATGACCATTTATCTATATATTTCCTTCTGGTTCACATTACCTTCCGCGTTTGTCAGGGTCTGTCCAGATGAGTATATAGATCGCTGTTCCGATTGCTATTGGTACGGTATTGTGTGAATCGAATTACCCCATGAGCTCCACCCCCACAAGACAGCACAGCCCCAGCAGTGCCTCAGCTGAGGAGAAAAGCAAGAAAAAGGGGATTTTAACCTCCCTCAACTTCCCCCAACGTTTTACCCTCGTGCCACTGGTGTCCTCTGCTGCTTCTTTACTTGTCAGTAAACCAGGTACTGTAGTTGTGAGTACACTGGCAATCATGTGGACCGTTCTCATGGGAGAATGTAAACATCTGCAGTGTGAGCAGAAGGTTTGTCCAAGAGGAAGATAAAATAGATAACACTGAAGATAAGAACCTTTTAAATGTGTCCTAGAATATTCCAAAATTCTCCAGTTTGGACAGATATTTAGTCTCTAATTCAGTCTTCCTCTGAATTAGAGGAAGACTCTTAGAGATGTCCTACCAAATCTTTCTCCCCTTCTTCACTATTTAGTGCTTCTTAAAGCTATGAGCAGAACCATGATGTGTCAGCAGTGCTACTGAGTTCTAGGGCAGAATCAACCAGAATATTCTAGGAAGGAGAGTAATGAAGAGGACAACACTGTACTTCTTCCCTCTAGAAAGCACTTGACTCTCCAGATGTTGACAATGGCAAGAGATACTGGGAGTTCAAGGCCAACACCATTTGGAGACCACAGTTGTCCACCCTAGGATGTTACACTAATGAAGTTTGATCCAGACTGTTTCACAGTCTACTAAACTAACCTTGAAATAACACAAACATTGTGACATAAGAATCTGACTTTTTAGCTTACTTGGGTTTTCAGGGCTTGAAGCTGTGCATCATAATTCTGAGCCATCTCATACTTAGTCTTTTGTAAACTGTCCAGTTTCTGTCTCAGCAGCCCAACCTGTAAAACACATATTTTCATATATCTAAAGAACTCCAAAAACCAAAGCTATCAAAGAAGCACAAAAATACCTCCACTGGATAATAATGAAAAGCGTATTATCAACATAAATAATTAAATGTGTTGAAAAGAAGCCAAAGACCTAATTTCTAGCATATTTTGCTGTGCAACGAAAAACAAAGTATTATTTTCTTTTAAGACTAGAAAACTTGCTTCAGTGTGAGCCAAAGCCCAATGCATTTCCAGAAGCCATAAACACAATCTACATGGATTTTCCTCTATAGATTCAAATTAGTCTGTCCAGGTGAGAACTTAAGAGTAATTTTGTTTGAGAGTATTTTTAATATGCTTAATGGCTAAAGTATACTTAAAATTACAATGCTTTGAATTTTTAATGATGTGTTTTATAATTTTTCTGTCTTTTGTTTGTTCAGTGTGTCTTTTCAGAGTATAAGCTCTTGCATTTTTAGAATGTAATCAAAATATTCTCGTGGTTCTTATTTACCCTTAAAATACATTTTTATCATAAAGTAAAGGTAAAGGTTCCCCTTGACATTTAGTCCAGTCGTGTCTGACTCTAGGGGGTGGTGTTCATCCCCATTTTCAAACCATAGAGCCAGTGTTTGTCCGAAGACAGTTTCCATGGTCATGTGGCCAGCACGACTAGACACGGAACACCGTTACCTTCCCACCGAGGTGGTACCTATTTATCTACTCACATATGCATGCTTACAAACTGCTAGGTTGGCAGGAGCTGGGACAAGCGACGGGAGCTCAGTCCGTCATGTGGATTTGATCTTACAACTGCTGGTCTTCTGACCTTGCAACACAGAGGCTTCTGCGGTTTAACCTGCAGCGCCACCACAATTTTTATCATGCTGTGGATTGAATTCTGACTTAAGTATTTGTCTGCAACTTAATATTCATATATTTTTAAGCATTTCATAAGCATTTACAATTTTCATAACTGTAAGAATGTTTCCAATACATATTAACTTTTAACTCTTTGAAGTATTTGTGCTTATGAAACATAGAAACAAGATATAGAAATAAAGCTTGTAGAATTAGAGAAATAAATGTTGCCTGGAATTATTGCTACAATGAAAAAAACTTATCTTGATACTCAGATGAATTTTGATAGGATTGGAAATGATTATTTGGTTTCATTCTGGAATTAACCCTTAACTGAGATAAATGTCAGCTGTGATTTACATGTGCTTCTGATTTTTCCTAGAGGTCCAGAAGGTTCCATAGGGCTCTTAGGGAGATGTTCAGCGCCTGGAATTATTGCTACAATGAAAAAAACTTATCTTGATACTCAGATGAATTTTGATAGGATTGGAAATGATTATTTGGTTTCATTCTGGAATTAACCCTTAACTGAGATAAATGTCAGCTGTGATTTACATGTGCTTCTGATTTTTCCTAGAGGTCCAGAAGGTTCCGTAGGGCTCTTAGGGAGATGTTCAGGCATCAGATTCTCTGACCTGACACTTCTGTTGAGACTAGCATTTTTGGAAAGAAACCTTTTGAGTATATTTTTGTACTGGGATATTGGAACAGTTGACCAAAATCTCTGTGCAAGATAACAGGTTTCTTAGCCTTGCCCTAAAACAAGAGTTTTTATTCCTGATTTAAAACAAAGGATAACTTCAATGGCAAGGAGGATGATTCATTTCCATACATGCTGAACAGCTGTAGGTTTCATTTAAGAAAAGCATATGCACACATTCAGCACATAGTTTAATTGGAGCCAAAATCCATTAATTTTTTACCTTCTTGACCCTGACCACCCCCAATGTATTTTTTATAAACTTGGACGCAGAATAAATGACATCAAATTTTTGGTTCATTGATTGCCTTTGGTTCATTTGGAGCAGAGGATAAAGTGCACTGTTTATGAAAAGTCATATGCACTTGTAAAGTTCCCTTTGCGCAGAGAATATTATCCCATTATAAGTGTTATATTGGCTCTTGATCATAAATATTTCTTTTTAATATAAAACCTTTCATTTTCAATTAAGGATGAAGTCATTAAATTTCTAATTCTTTTACTGTCTGACCATAGTCTACATTCTGTAGTAAGTGGTTCAAGGTTTGTGTCATAAAGATTTGTAAAGATATACAGTGGTGCCTCGACTTACGAAATTAACCCGTATTGGAACAGTGGCCGTAACTTGAAAATTTCATAAATCAAAGCACTGTTTCCCATAGGAATGCACTGAAAACCATTTAATCCATTTCAGCAGTGGCGGAGGCAGCAGGGAAGGGAGGCAGAGGACAGTGGAGACGGCTTTGGGCTAAATGGATTTAGACTACAGTATAACACTCTAAAACCATAGTTACTATAACTAAGAGTCCATGGTATTTCTCAAGGATTCTGTGTCTTATAGTTTAAGATAATCAGGGGTCCCAAGACTGGGAACAATTGCTTTATGAAGACACAGTTACACTTTTCCAACATAACATGATGAGAAGTTTTGATGAAAAGTATAGGTTGAGGAATGGGCTGGTGCATTCTCATTTCTTCTTCCAGGTGAATACTGGAGTCATAGCAACCAATTCTCTTTAAGTCCATAATCAGTGCAACAGGACCATCCCAGAAATGAAAAAAAAAATGCTGGCTTCAGCTCCCATGGATTAGAATTGAAAAATAATGCTAATGGGAGAAAAACCACAAACCAGCAACCTCTGGTTGAGAGTAAGGTGGAATAATTTTGTTGTATCTATGACAATGTTTCCTGCTGTTGTGAATGGGATAGGACAACCATACTTGTAGGAAAGAGACAGAAATGCAAGATGTTCAGTCTGGATTTAGAAAAGGAAGAGGCAAAAATAATAAATAATAAATAAATACATACATAATTATCTCAGAATCCCCCAGAAAATGGAAGTACAGTGGGTTATGGCTATGCCTGATCCTGCTCTCTAAAGACGTGAGAAACAAGCTTATTCCTTCCATCTTCGTCACATCAACACTTGAAACTGGCAACATGGCATACAATGCATATGGATTTAACATTGGAATCAATGTGAGTCTGACGTACAGATAAATCTGCTAGCTTTCTGTACTCAGACTGCACATGAATCAAACCCCTGACTTTGATTTTACCACGCATAGTATTCTAATAGAGGAGTATTAAATATGCATTCAAAGAATATAGGATTCTGATATTTGATAAATATCTTGAAAAAACAAGCTATTAAGTAGTCAGAATTACTTAATATTCACACAAGAATATACAATATATAAAAGAGCACACCATACCTCTTGACCCTTTTGATCTAACTTGCTTTGGGCAGTTGCTAATTCTTGATCCCGGATTGTCATTCTTGCTTCTAAAGCTTGAAGTTTCCTTTCCCATTCTAATTTCTTCTTATTTACCATGATGTCAATTTGATGCATTAATTCCTGAAGCTCAGCATCACAAGGAACAGACCTAAAAATAAATTATTGTTTTCTAAGTACGGTATAGAACAAAGGAAAGTATTTTTTTAACTGAGTTTCATGTTGTATTTCTCTCAAATAAGTTTACCTGTGATTTCAAAATTAACTGGAGTGCTTATGTTTTTTTCCATGGTGCTGGGGAGTGTGACCCCAGGACCTCAAAATGGCTCGGCAAGGCAATTTTGCAGCCCCTGCATGACAATCACTGCAACATAATTTTACAAAATAAACAGGAACCAAAGAAGTCGTTTTCTGTTTCTAGAGGCCTCCACTAATGTGTAGCATGCATAATTAACTTGTAAACTGCCAAGAGAATGTTTTAAGCGCTACGGGGCAGTATATAAGCAGCATGTTTTCCTTGTTTTTTAAATAGCAGTTTTGTAATGAAACAGGTTGTAGCACCACAAGTTCTCTGAAATGAGACATATAAATGAAAAACATTAAAAGTGAAACAGACTACCAGTGTCATTTCATTTTGATTTCACACACTTTCGCTCATGGGGAAAGGGGGCTGGTATAACCTCTCCGCTCCGAAGGTGGAAAATAAGTCTTAGCCCTCCAAGGTTGTGTACCCTGGTCTGTTTGAAAAGAAACCTTTCTCCAGTCTGGCATGGTCAAATTACATGTTAAAGATCTGAAAGTTGAGACACAGCAACTGGACTTCTTTCTTATCAGGTTGAAATGTTTTGCTGAAAAAGCTGTTTTGATGAGTAACGTTTCAACCTAATAAGAAAGAAGTCCAGTTGCCATGACTCAACTTCCAGATAATCTCACCTGGATAAATGAGAATCTTCACAGGTACATGTTAGGAAAAATGTACAAAAATTAGTATTACATTTTTCTAATGACCAGTCACAAGGCAAAAGCAAGTTAGCTGTCAACATGTGGAAGTAAGGAAAGGCTGTGCTAGGACAAACAGAGTTGTATGCTAGACTAAGCTTCTCAGTGAAAGGATAAAAATTTGAATTTAACATAAAGTCTACTCTTTCCATTATTATGGCAAAATCTGTGGCACACTATCATAATTAGTATTACATTTTTCTAATGACCAGTCACAAGGCAAAAGCAAGTTAGCTGTCAACATGTGGAAGTAAGGAAAGGCTGTGCTAGGACAAACAGAGTTGTATGCTAGACTAAGCTTCTCAGTGAAAGGATAAAAATTTGAATTTAACATAAAGTCTACTCTTTCCATTATTATGGCAAAATCTGTGGCACACTATCATAAATAAAGGGAATTCAGGTGCCTACCGGGAGGTGGCTATTGAGAATCCTCTGGACTGCAAGGAGAACAAACCTATCCATTTTGAAGGAAATCAACCCCAAGTGCTCACTGGAAGGATCCTGAAGCTGAGGCTCCAATCCTTTGGCCATCTCATGAGAAGAGAAGACTCCCCGGAAAAGACCCTGATGCTGGGATAGTGTGAAGGCAAGAGGAGAAGGAGACGGCAGAGGACGAGATGGTTGGACAGTGTCATTGAAGCTACTAACATGAATTTGACCCAACTCTGGGAGGCAGTGGAAGACAGGAGGGCCTGGTGTGCTCTCTCTTCCATGGGGTCACGAAGAGTCAGACATGATGGTTGTTGTGGGTTTTTCAGGCTCTTTGGCCGTGTTCTGAAAGTTGTTCTTCCTAACGTTTCGCCAGTCTCTGTGGCCAGCATTTTCAGAGGACAGCACTTTCTGGCCACAGAGACTGGCGAAACGTCAGGAAGAACAACCTTCAGAACATGGCCAAAGAGCCCGAAAAACCCACAACAACCATTAGATCCCGGCCGTGAAAGCCTTCGCGAATACATCAAGTCAGACATGACTTAATGACTAAACAACAATAACCGGGAGGTGGACAGCTTAGTGGTTTAAGTATCTGGCTGTGGAGCCAGAGGCTGGGCATTCAATTCCCTACTGTGCCTCCTTAACAGGGGCTGGATCCGATGATCCATAGAGTCCTTTCCAGCTCTGTAATTCTAAGACACTATTCTAAACCAGAACAAAATATGTCAGCATGATAATTAAGATGATGTTAGGTGTCACAGAACTAATGGAGTTTAATTAGGCTGTGCAAACCTTTCAGCATTAGTTTAAGTAGTTTGGATTTAGAAATTCCATACTGGGTAATATTACACTTCATTTGGCTCACCCAAAGACACAACACTAAAATATAGCAGTTAGTCTTTAAAGTGCCACAATGTTTTTGTCTTCTTTATTTTTCTTTTGGTTTTGCCCAAAACCCGAGGATATTTCTGCTTTTCCAAGAAGCTTCATTTTCCTCAGGCTGATTCCAGCTGGCAAACAGGCCGGTGCTTTGACTCTCCAAATTAACAGCATGGAAACCTTCTATTTGGCAAGTATGCAATTAACAGAGTGAGACAGTGCTCTGTGCCTTTGCACCATCTCTGGGCCATCTTTTCTCCATATGCTCCCAAACTGCACTTTGGAGGTCAGATGGCAAGCTGTGAATGGCCCAGTCCTGCCGTGAAAATCTGACAGCACAAAATGTTTAAAGGAAATTATTTAGAGCAGCCATGTTAAAAAAGAATGTTTCCAGAGGAACATGCAACTGCTGAAACTCCTGTTGTACACCGTTGTTTCTGTGGTCCCTGCAGAGCAGTATTCCCTTGGAAGAAAATGAGCTGAAGATTCCAATGCATTTCTGAGTCAGTGACTGGATTTCTATTTGTATTCATTCACCTTTTGGATCCTAGCAATGTATCTGATAAAGTGGTAGCAGTCCCAAAAAGTACATCATCCTAAACTTGAGAATACAGACTCCTCTTAGCAATTTTTTTTTTGCAAAGAGTACATCAAAACCAATGCAATTATCAACCAATTACAATTATCATTCTATTCAGGAAGAATCACCATTTATTCAGCAAAGTCAGCAGGCATTATCAGGGCTTGGAAAAAATATGATTTTTTTTCTTTTAGTACAACCCCCTGGATTCCACCACCACCACTACCATGGTCTTCAGCTATGTTGACTTGGGGATTTGGAGGGTTGTAGTTCAAAAATGTAACCTGTCAAAGTTCTGGGAAAGAAAATGGACATTGTCTTTTGACTCACACCATTAGTATAAAACAATAGTCAAGTGCCTTCAAGTACTGACTTATGACAATCCTTTCCAGGGTTTTCCAGATAGAAAATACTCAGAAGTGCTCTTCTTCTGGGGTTGCTCTGGGACTATGCAGCTTCACTACTGGCTGGCTTTTCTCTCAGGAAGCACAGTGGGGAATCAAACTCCCTACTTCTGACCCGCAGCCAGAGACTTAAACCACTGAGCTGCCAAGCCACCTTATAGAGTTAGTAGGAGTTATTCATTTGGAAACATCTTTAAAGAACAGGGGCTGGACAAAAGGGCCCAGGGAAAGCAATGGCAGAAGAAGACAGGTCTTGGAAAAGCGGAATAGCACAGAGGAAAGAAAGCTGGAGGGATCAGGGAAGGAGTGTGGCAGAGAGAAAGAACCACAGCTTAGTGGAAGACAGTGCGCTTTGTATGCGAAACAAACAATTCCAGATTAAATCACTAGCATGGTATAGTGTATAGAATAGAATGATAGACTAAAATTCAGGAGACCTAAGTTTGAACCCTACTCACTCATGGAAATTCATGGGGCAGGGAAAGGGTGGAATTGGAAAAACCAGTTGTTAAATATCTCATTTACCTTGAAAGCCCAATTAAGGTCACTAAAAATCATTTCTGATTTGATGGCACACAACACAAGATATCTTAAAAAATATGACAGAGCAACAGGCAAAGGATTTGTAACTGAAATTCTGAGAGTAGCTACCAGTCAGAGTAGACAATACTGTGCTAGATGGGCATACAGCAGAACTTAGAAAAGGCATTTCTTTGCATTACCACTTTTAGAGTCTGCCACCCTCAGTTCCAATCAGTAATTTATCTAACTCTGTGACAAGGACAGAGGAAGGGGTTTTGGAGAACTGAGTTGAAAATGGAGAGTGGAAAACTGAAATTGCTCAGGATTTACAATGCTGTTTTCACATGCTGATTCACAAAGAACTAGTCAAATGTATTCGCGAAGGCTAGTCAAATCTTTCCCTTTGGGCCTTTATTGAGCCATCCCTCAATTATTATGTTTGCCTTTATGTGCAAACACGCTAGGAAGTATTTCTTACTTAGACCAATAGGACTTATACCTGAGTAAACATAGAATATGAGCAAAGAAATATTCAAGTTGAATGTATGAAGAAAATGAAAGCTTAAGCAGGCCAGTAGCTTCACCTCTCACAAAATTTCTTTTTCTAAATCTTCAACTATCAGGAAGTATGTTCATTATGATGTTCACTTGCATTAAGATTTCTGAAGAATTCTAATCAGGTAATGTTTAATAAAAATGTCCTCAATAGTATTCTGTTGACAGGGATGAGAATTTTACAATGCAATTTCCAGATAATAACATTTTCCAATTAGGAAGGTTATGCATGCCAAAGATATTAAACAAAAGAAGCCTCTTTTCCTTGACCAGGTCTGAAAAGTAATTTCAACAAGAAATGTGGGTCAATTAGATGCACTCTTCATTAAAAGCAGTAAGTCATACTACTGCCTCATGGTTTGCCTAATAAATGAAACCTTAAATTCATCAGTGTCATGCTACAGTTAACAGATTTATTTCACTTAACAAATTGAAACAGCAGCATGATGTACTTTCATTCTAAACCTTTGGAATCATTTGCGATCCTATGGGGCTGATTAGAGCACAAGTAAGTCTATTTCAGATTCTCTTCTCATTTGTTCCTATTTAGCTCTTCCATGAGCAGCAGTTAAAGTTTTGCAGTGCCACTGGGGTTAATAAAATTGTAGATTGTGGAAAAACCATACAGTTTAAATTAATCAATATAACTCTGCACATTTGATTTTATGCAACCTTCATGCTCAGTCTACAGAGATATTTTTAAATATTGAATCCTATTCAGAGAAGAAAAAATACAAGGAGGTTAGTCTTTCCCAACAAAACCAAAAAAGACTCCTATGACACCTTTAAGACTAATAATTTTTGGCATAAGCTTTTGTGGATTGCAGCCCATGTACTGTATAGAGTCAACTAAAATGTAAGCACATTGACAGCATATTGACTTGTATATTGAAATGGGAATCCCACTGAGTTCAATGGGATTTAGTCCCACTAAAGTATTCATAGGATTGTAGTCTATATTCTTAAAAGGCAAACCATCACTTCTCCACCTTAGCCTCCACTCACACAAATATATAATGTGGAACTGGTGGAGTCACTGGTTTCTCTCCTTGCTGCCTCCTTTCCCATGTCATATTTGATACTTCAGTCTTTACCTGCTTAAACCAAAGTTCACACACACACATAAAAATTGGAAATTCTGGTTTGAAGTGTTGACTTACTAACTAGAATCTTGAACCAGTTACAAAGCATGATTTAAAATCCTGCTTAACTCATGGTAATGTTCCCTCTACCTATCCTACACTACCTACAGTCTATCCTAATGGACAATTAACAAGTTACAGTCAGAGGAAAACTGGTTAGAAACAGACTAGCTCCACTGCCTGCTGGACATTGGACCAAGTAGGAGACTTCCCTAACTTGCAGTTTGGATGTGTGTGTGTGATGTGTCCTGGTCGCAATCCATGTGTGTGTGTGTGTGTGTGTGTGTCCTGGTCGCAATCCACTTATCATCATCATCTTAGAACTGCAATGCTGGTAGGGACCCTATGTATGGATCATTGAGTCCAACCCCTGTCAAGGAGACACAACTCCCAACATCTGGCTCTGCATATATAGAGACCCTGTGGCACTCCAGATGTTGCTGATCTACAGTTCTCAGTATCTATTTACTGCTGGCTTACCTTGGCAGAGCTAATGAAATTTGGAACCCAACAAAAAGAAGAAAAACACAAGTTCCAGCCACTGCTTGAAATCCACAGGTATCAAGAACTGTGTTATGTATCACCAAGTTGCACAAGGTATGGGGTATGTCTAAGGAGTGGTTTAACAAGTACTATTCATCCCCACCATGAGTTTCCATGGCTGAGCATACATTTGAACTCAGGTCTTCTGAGTCCTGGTCCGTCACTCCATCCACTACCACACAAACTCCCAGGAGATTGCTGGCCATCAACCTTACCTAGCCATCATTTGTTCCTGTGATGCCTCTATCTTCTTCTCCATTTCAGCATCCAGGGTTGCACTTATCCAGTCTCTTCAGGGAAGAAAAGTTGTTTTTAGTTTCTCGTTTTCACCAAGACTCCTACTTCAGAGCATAAAAAGCAGCAGCAGACTGATCAGAGAGGCTTTCTCCTTCTTTCCTGCCTTCCTTTCTGTCAAAAAGAATGTGAGAAAGTGAGGAGGAAAACTGCCTCTGAGCATACATGCCTCTCTCTGGAGACCTGAGAAAGGCAGCGGGGAAAGAGTGGGCCTGAGCATAGGACGTGAGAAAGGAGGGAGAAGCGTGTCTCTGAGCATAGACAGAGAGTCTTCCTCCCGTCTTTCTCCTCTACTCTGGAATATAGCGAAGACGGGATGCGTTGGCTCAGCCTAAGGGCTCACCTCCCTGCCTCCAGCCCTCCGGAAGGCGAAGGAAGAAACGAGGACGAAGGGAAAGAGAGCACAGTTACCGGGCGGGCTGTCGGTTGTCTTCTGCCCACTTTTTGCACCTGCGGTTCGGAAAGAGCCTGTCAGCTCCGGTCCCCTCTTTTCTGCCCTCCCGCCACGTTTGCCGCCCTTTCCTTCCCCCACAAGGCCGTCCCGTTTCGCAGTTGCAGGTGGGGCCTTGCGGGCGTCTCTCGTTGCCACGGCAACGGGGCGGCCTAGCAGAGACTTTCCTTCCCCCACAAGGCCGTCCCGTTTCACAGTTGCAGGTGGGGCCTGCGGGCGTTTCTCGTTGCCATGGCAACGGGGCGGCCTAGCAGAGGCGCCCGTCGGAGGAACGGAGTTCGGCCGCCTTAGCTCAGGCGGGGAAAAAAAAAAGGGAAAAAAAAAATCCAAAACCGACCTTAAAATCCCCGTCAGGAAAGAAGGTCGGGTCTTCTCCTGAGGGAGAGCCTCGTTGGAATAGGGCAGATAAAAGGGGCGCCCCATCCCTCCGTCTCTCTTAGTTGGGGACGGTAGGAGTGAGTGTCAAAAGTTCTATTATTCCTCCCTATATTATATGCATATATCCAACTGGACTTGTAATTATGTATCGCTGTTTATCCTTATCATTGGTAATTGGTAGCCATCTTTCCGAGGCCGGTGGACTGCTCCTATGTATTAGGAAACCGTTAAGGATGTGCTTTTGGTGTTCCCACAAAAAGCTGGATTGAGCCTTATATGGTGCCTTGTTTTTATATCCACAGAATGATGTAAGTTCTTCAGAAAGGCATCAAATTCTCTCTCCCCCTCCCCCAACAACCCCACAAGGAAGGCTTGGGTTGAGAAGGTCCAAAGTCAGGAAACTTGACACTAATTTCAACACAGATCTAGCCCTGAGGGTATGCAATTTGTATCCTTCGAGATATTGGACAGTGTCGCTCATCAGCCTTAGCTTACAAAGATAGTGGTGAAGGATCATGGGACCTGCTGTGAAATGACATCTGGAGGACTACAAATTCTGGATCCTTGGACTATCCAGGCTGCCTAACCAATACACCACATCAGCTGAGCTCACAATATTCTCACGCCCATAAATCTGGGCTAGTTTTCTCAGGAGTAAACCAACAGAGTTTATTCTCCGGATATATCTGTATACAGTTACAGCCATGCAAACAATCCTGTGAATATTTACTCAGAAGTAAGACGACTATCCTGTGTGCATTTACTTAGGAGGAAGTACAATTTAAATCAGATCACGAGTCTGCATCTGATTAAAGGTTCCCCTTGACAATTTTTGTCCAGTCGTGTCCTACTCTAGGGCGCGGTGCTCATCCCCATTTCCAAGCCATTGAGCCAGCATTTGTCTGAAGACAATCTTCTGTGGTTGCATGGCCACTGCGACTTAGACACGGAACGCTGTTACCTTCCCACCGAAGTGGTCCCTATTTATCTACTTGCATTTGCATGCTTTCGAACTGTTAGGTTCACAGGAGCTGGGACAAGCGACGGGCGCTCACTCCGTCGCGTGGATTCGATCTTACAGCTGAAGATCTACAGACCTTACAGCACAGAGGATTCTGCGGTTTAACCCACAGCACCACCACGTTCCATCTATATCTGATTAAACATGTATAATATATTTATTACATACTCAAATATTTCTTCATTTTTCATGGATTGCATGGGTATGTTATCATGATCAATGTCATCTTCTTAGAACTGCATAGTTGGAAAAGACTCTGGATCATCATGTCTGGCACCTATCAAGGAGGCACAAGTGGGGAATCGAACTCCCAACTTCTGGCTCCACAACCAAACATAGTGCATAAGCCAACCAAAGTCCTTTCCACTAAGCTAATAAACTCATTATGTGATCTTGGATATGACACTCTCACAGTCTGACTTACCTTGCAGGGTCATTGGAATGATCATGTGGGAACTATGTCAAACAAGTGCAATGCCTTGAGTTCATTGGAGGAACATAAATATAAATATAACCAATTAAATTAAATATATACATAAATAGCTGGTTTCCTTTAAATTACATTGCACTGAAGACTGCAGAAGGATTGTCTCTATGTCCATCTGTTCTAACGTAACTGAGTTGGTTTGTGTGTCTGTGTGTGTGTACAAGTGGACATAAATTTTGCATTTGGGTGGCTACACTAAAATATTCTTGAATAAGACTGGAATAATTTGCCATGAGGGTGATCTAGGAATAAGGTAGATACCATAGTCCGTTTCTCACACTGTCACTTGCTCATACATAAAATAGGCATTATGATGATTTGCCTAATGGAACTATTTTTAAAGAAGTGTGTATCATTTTGTGGGTTTCAAGGAAGGAACATTTTCTTCCTAATAGATCCACGCGGTCGCTTTGTGAAAATTCATGTACAAAGTTGTAAAAGTAACTTTATTTTTTCCCATGGTATAAGTCTCACATTCCCTGTCAGAACTGAAAACAACACTTTCAGTCAAGCACAGTATATATACGTTGTATTTCAGAAATGTACCAAGGGTTCAATAATTTTTTAAAAATGTTTTGAAAATAAAGAATCAGTACAATAAGATTCCCTTATCCTTGGGATCAGTATCCACTGATGCACTTATCTACAGACTGCAAAATTGAATCAAATATTTAAAATATTAAAATAAAAAAATGCAGAAAAAAAATCATGTTTTACCATAACTGGCGATAAAGGGAACCAGGGAATCCGCTTTGAAGAATACATAGCACAGTCTCTGGCTGTTTAAGGCCTCTCCTCTTGTGCGTTTTTCCTGGGAGGCTCTGGTGTAGCTCCTTGTGCCTTCTGGTTTACCCATGTGGTGTCCTCCGAGGTCGTGAATATTAATGTAATATCTTCATAGACCAATGGGAGTGCTGGCGGGGCAGAGTTACGAGATATAAAATACTCAGCAGGAGGAGATTGAGAGTCAGAGAAATTGAGAGTTTAGGGAGAGTGGTGGTTGAGAGGGGATGAAGGAGTATGTTTGTTTAAAAGTTAACACCATTGCTTGAACTATCATCATCTGTAACAATAAACAGTTTCTATATGGCTCTTTTTAAATGACATATGGCCTGGACCTCGACCATTAATAATAGATAATGTTGATGTAATCAACAGGTGGCAGCTGAAAGACACATAGCGTGAGCTCTTAGTTTGGTGAAACAAGCAGGGGCCACGTGGGGATCGGTGACAACCCAGAAGTTAAAAAAAAAGCATCAGTGCCGGGTGATCTAATGAGCAAACAGAACCCACCCGAAGGGATTTGTAATGCAATATGAAATGCATGTAATATGATTATGATTTTTAATATTGTACTTTATTGTGTTTCTTATTCTTTATAACTATTTTTAAAATAGTCTGTGAGCTGCTTTGAGCCCATTTATTGGCAGGGATTAAGTAAACTGGATGAATAAATTAATTGCTTATATTTAAGGATGCTGTTTTAAAGGCAAAAGTGGACAAAGGTTCTCATACTGAGGACTGTACTAGAGGATAATCTGTTGAACACCACATTCTGGTGCGGGATACCATTAAAGTTAGTGGTGAATGGTGCTAGTACCCAAAGTAGGCGAGTCTCTTTCTTCTCGCTGGCTGCATCATCCTTTTTCTCACTTCTTAATCGCCACTTAGTAGACAATTGATGGGATATATCCCACTTGCCAGACATGAACCAATCAATGTACCAATCACTTGCAGAAGGCTGTTGAAATTTTCTCCTGGGAGAAAACTTGTGAGCTTTCTCCCAGGAGGCTCTGGAGCAGCTCCTCTTACCTGGTTTTTTACCTAGACATTTTTTAAAAAGCATCAGTGCCGGATGATCTTGGCACAAAGCAAAATGGGGTATCTCCAGCTGGCTTGCTTTGCATTGAGGCCCGAGAGCACACCAGCAAACAGCTCAGCATGCAGGTGAGTGGCTCTTCCAAGGCGGAGTGCAGCCTCTGTCCTCCGCCTTCTCTTCAGGTAATCATAAGGTTTGCATGGATTGGAGGGTGGGTGGGTGTCTGGTTTGAGGAGGGAGATGTTTGCTATAATTCATGTTTTCCAGCACCCACAGGGGGGCTCAGAAACAATTGGCCATGGATACAAAGCTCCTACTGTATTTCTCAAATTAACTCTGGGCTCGTCACACCTGCCAAATGAATCCCAGTTATGCTGATTTGGCTGTTTTTAAATTCTTTTCATAGTTTTCTGGTCACACAATACACAGCCAACATTGATTAATTTCACCCAGCAATCAGCTTATTTCTTCCTTGCCAGGAAGATTGTTTTAAATTGTACTGATGATATATTGCTTCATTCCTTATCGTTTCAGCATGTATGAATGTTGCTGTCAATTTATTTTCTTTGTGAAGAGTTTGAATTTCTGGGCACTGAGACCACTTCATGGCCACTGCGCTTGTGCCCCTAAGAAGTATTTTTTTAAAAAAGGAATATTGGTAAATTGCTAATAGCAGCTGCTACTACTAGCGAGAAAAAAAAAAGAATCAATGCAGGTACAAACAATGTGAACACTCCTGTCAATATATATACCAAGTGATCCTGAAAAAAAATGTATTGGAACAACAGAAGTATGAAAAGAATCGGTATAACTGGTGCTCTTTTCTCACGTGTGATCGAGCCCTCTGTTGTACTGGATCCAGAGCTAGTCCCGTCATTAGGAAGAATAAAGTAGCTTGCCTCAGGCTACAAGTGTGAAGTCCCATTAAATGATAACAAATCATTTCACTTTGCTTTGTATTTTTACCACTGATACTGGTCTGGGTGAGGATAATAGTTGGATTTTTGCTCATGCTTCACATTCTGTGCCTTTCAATAATATTGTGGGGTAACGTTGGATCAGGATACCCCGTGTTGGTGGATAGAATGACAGACTACAACTCAGGAGATCTGGGTCTGAATTTTTGTTTGGGCATGGAAACTCATTTGGGGGAGGGTAGGGTAGAATTGATAAAACAGCTCCTTAAACATCTCACTTACCTTACAATCGGGGTCGCTGTAACTCAGTTCCAAATTGACAGCACGTAACACGCAAGATTCCGAAGAGGCAGAGGCACTCGAGACCAAATTGCTAACTTGCGCTGGATTATGGAGAAAGCCAGAGAGTTCCAGAAAAATATCTACTTCTGCTTCATCGACTATGCAAAAGCCTTTGACTGTGTGGACCACAACAGACTATGGCAAGTTCTTAAAGAAATGGG